TTTTCTTACTTGTGAAAACTACATAACTTCGTTACTTAGAGCCGTGGTGGTCCTAGAGATAGAGCTCTCGCCTCCCAATGAGGTGATCCAGGTTTGAATCCCATCGATGGCTGATCGATATGAATTCTGCACGCGATTTGCATCGATCACAATGCTGACGTAAAATATCCCCAGTGGTAGACGCATCATGAGTTAGAGGTTAGAGTCCCCTTGCTGTTGGGCTAAACGTGGTAGGTATTCGGGATTTTCCTCTCCATGTAACGCAAATGCTGGTTAGTTCCATCAGAAGTCCTCCACGAAGGCTAGTTTCCTCCAATGCTTGATTCGGGAGTTCTCTGGTCTTCTGTGTTGGGTTCAAGAATACAAGGCTAAGGAGTCGTAAACACAGAATTGGGTCGGCTATTCAACGCCAGTTATAAAATTAATAATTTCTTTACTTTTCATTTCATTTACACAAAAATATAACAGCCTGTGTTTATTTTCTGTGACGTAAAAATCATTTAATTCATTTTTTTGTCTTAATTTATTTGTTTTGATAAAACAGTGAGAGCATTTTAAAGACTTTGGTTTGAAACTCCTCTAATATTCATCAGGCAATCAAACTGGTTTTTCATGTCTCTTTTTTCACTAGTGTTTCGAAAAGTTTTGATAGCCCTTTTATTTTCTTAAATATTGATATGTTACACCTAAATGCATGCTTTTTTTCCTACATTTTCGACAAGGATTTCAAATATATATTACATTAAGGGTAGAGATTGCTGTGTACTTTGTATAAACCAGAAAGCTCTAACTGTATTGACGTGGAGATATGGGAATTTAAACGGCGTTATTCCTAAAAAAACATTTTTTCATGCTATAATTACAACCTCTTTAGCTTTTGATTTAATTAACTCAAAAATGTAAAAACCCGTATTTTTTATACATTTATTGCGGCAAAAAATATTTATTTTTTCTCCAATAAAATGAAGAGGAATTAGAAAACTTTGATTAGAAACTCCTGAAATTTTCCTCCGGCAATCAAACTGGTTTTTATGTAGTCGATTTAAGTTTAAAAAAGAATTTTTAAAAAAATCATAGCATCAAGCGTAACAGATTTTTTCAACAGAGAAAAGACTTCTGAAAATAATGCGGAGAAAGAAAAATTAAAACTAAAATCAGCTAATCAAATAAGATATACCAAAAGAGGTTCAGGAGCTAATATTTTCATTCAATAAGTAAAAAGTAAATAACTATTTCTTCATTCGTTATGTATAAATAAATTGGCCAACGATGCTAAAAACTCAATTTTCCGTTTAACATAAAACGCTTTACATAACGAAATGGTGTGTAACTTCAACTATACCTTTTTTTTTCTTTCCTCTATGAATCTTTCAAGGGAGTTAAAAGCAGAACAGGAAAAGGTTGAAGTGCTTGGCGATAAAACAAAACGTAATATAAACACCCTACTATTTTTAATATTGTATAGTAGACTTTTTTCTCGCCACAGAACTCAAGATTCTTACATTGTTGATGGAAAGATATATTGTTCGAACAAAAGATTGATAAGTATAATGACTAATTGAAATGTGTTATAAAGGTCTATATAGAGGTTTGGCCATGTTGGAAATAATTGCACAGTGAGCAAAATAAAAAGCGGACCATCATGAATAACTTTTGATCTAATGATCGGAAATTCACATTCTAAGACTTAAGGGTTAGTGATCATAAATTCGATAATTAACTAGTGCAGGCGATATTTTAAGTTACGAAATCAGACACAAAAACGTACTTTCTCTGAATAAACATACCTTTGTTGCAATGGTATCAGATTTTTGTCCCCCAAAATATTGGGCAGCAATCTGGGAAATATGGTCCCCATAGTTTGATCAGAGCGAACCAAAGTTTGGACCTTAATATTAATTTTATTTTTTGCGTATTCCGTCATATCTCAAAAACTTTTTAAGCGAATTGAAGTTTTTTTTCTCGCAATTATATAATTCGTTCATCCAAACATAATTCCATGCGAAAAATAGCTTTTACTAAATATTTTTTATTTTATTTTTTATTATTCTATTTAATAATAGCTGAAAAAATTTGAATTGTAAGGTATGAAATTTTTAGCTTTTTTTTTTTTTTTTTTTTTTTTTTTTTTTTTTTTTNTTTTTTTTTTTTTTTTTTTTTTTTTTTTTTTTAAAGAACATAATTTTACATAGCAACTTGCAAAATTGAAGCAAAATCGGTCAACAAATTACTGAGAAATTAAATTTTAAAAATATGTTTATCAAAAAATAATAATAATAATAAATATTTATATAAATTTATGCAGAGAAAGTACATTGTTTCTGTCTGATTTCGTAACTTTAAATATAGTTTGCACTAATTAATTTGTGTTCACCCCTCAAATCATTAAGATTGATTCATAATCTTAATCATAGAACAATCAAAAGTTATTCAGAATGATTCGTTTTTTGTTTTGCGCTCCATGCAGGTTGAAGACTGAAAACAGTTAAATAATTTGAGAAAAATACTCCTAATCAAATTAATAAAATATATTGAATTAAATGTTCAAATTTTAACTATACGAGAATACTAAAAATTACTCACGATCTGATCCAGGGGCAATTCTCATAAACAAAATACAAATATGATAATTTTAAATTCTCTCATAATTTCAGTCGTGAGTATTCCTTGAAAAATTCGCACCCATTTTGCAAAAAACTTAATTAAAATATTTAATTTTAATGATTCTTTGACAAAAATTATTAATAACACTTTGATAAATTAACTTTTTGCCCTTTTCTCTCTAAAAGTTATCAAAAATTTGCGCACGACTAAAATAAACATTGGCTTCATGAATTTTTATCACCAGGTGGGTAAACACAAATAATTTCATTTTAATAATTCTCTTAAAACTTTAAATCCTTAAAATTTTTCAAAAATTTAAATTTTGTTCAAAGAACTGAATTTTTCTAACGTTATTCTCTACGCAAAACCAAAAACGCAAAGCCAAAAACTATCTATACAAGGTGTTTCGTAATGCCCACCCTTAAAATGTTGTTATAGAATGGTTGTAAGAAATGCACCTGTATAACATTTGGGTCTTAATCATTATTTTAATCAGACTGCTCGTAGAAGCAAACATCTGCATATTATTATTTTAGCAGAGTTCATGTGGTCTTTAAAACAATAAAAAAATTGTGGCATTTATATTGTAATTATTATTGTAATGTAGTTATCTTTAACTTAAAAATTAAAATTTCAATACTTAAGATTTTGCAACCAGAGATTTAGAGTTATTGAAATTGATTGTGGTCAATATAAACGTTATAAAATACATTTTTCTTCTTAGTTTTGCTGCGCCCATTTAAGTTTCTTAAGAAGCTTACAGAGCTTCTGTTTAATATCAGATATATGATGGTAAGAATCATAAAATAAGTTTGTAGTTAAAAGAATTAAGCAAAGAAATTTACAGTAGCGATATTTGGTGATAAATATAGCTGTTCGTAATTGAAGAATATGCTGAGCGACATTTTATGGCGAATATACAAAAATCGGGTTTAGAATGGATAGAAACATTATGAATATAATGCTATTTATAAATCATCTTTACCCAAAAAAAGCCACGTAATTCACTCATTTAACAAAATCAAACGATTGCTTAAAAAAGGAATCATATAATATTCTTAAACATACATGTTTCAGTACTTTTGAAATGCCACATAATATTCACTAATTTCTTCATATATAGAAAAAGGAATTATCTGGAATTCTATAAAGCCTTGTGCTTTCGCTTGATAGTTAAAATCTCTTCCATAAACTTGACATTTTTTTCGCGAACTTTTTCGTGATTCGTCCTACAACTCTGTATATATTTAGATTAATTAAAGTAAATTTGGTTTAAGTATAAAATCTTCTTGCTTAAAAAAAGTTAAAAGCAACTTATAAAATACAAATAATGTCATCTTAAAGAGTTATGTGTTTAAATTCTAAAATCTTGGAAAATACCAAATATTTTATAATTAATTCAAATTTTATTTTCAACAGACATGAAAACGGAAGCAATCTTCCCCTTTTGTGGCAGAAATCAGTCCTAAAAATGCCTGTTGCATAGAAACTTTGAAATAATTTTGTACTAACTATTAAAAAAAGTCTTACCGAGCTAAAGCAAAACGATAAGTGAAAAGGCTTTAGTTTTTACTTCATTCTTTTCATTGTCTCAACTTGGTTCTTTAGCAACGGCCAAATATATATAGCTTCCTAGCACCCCAATTTTATATTCAATTTTTAAGAAATTTTGTCAACCCCTATTTGTTTAAAGGTCAGTAATCCAAATATGTAAAAAGAAGTATAGATATTTATTCGGAGAAAGTACGTTTTTTGTGTTTATTTCGCTGTTTAATTAATAGTTAGCGAAAACTAATCAGCACGTTTAAAATCACCCCCTAAAACCATTAAAACTGATATTTAGTTCGTGAAAATTCAATCATTAGAACGAAAGTTATTCAGGGGATATCTTTTTTTTTTTTTTTTTAGCGCACTGTACACGCAATGAATTTTAAAGCCTAAAAAATAAAATAAATTATACAAAATTTACCAGGTTTATAATTGATAATGTAAATTTTGTAGTTGCTCTCTGATGTGAAAAATGATGTAAAATTTTTTTAGTTCTTAATGACGACTTATTGCTATATTACTTAGATGTGTTGAAAAGTTTGAAGTTTTTCTATTTGTTGCATATTTTGTTATAAAATGGAAACAAAGACAATTTTATACAAAAATCCACTTATTACATTTATCTATTCTTTTTTTTTTAACTTTTAATTTAATGATTGAATAGTTTTAGAATGAAAAAATTTTTGCTTCATTTTAAATGTTCTAATTTTTACTGTAAAATCTAAAATCGAACGAAATTGGACGAAATTCTACTTTCTACTTTATGCAACAAGCACTCTCTTGCGCCATCTGTATTAAATTTATCAAGTAAAGAATCTTTATTTACTTTCAAACTAAATTCCTCCATTTTAGAATCTGGCAATCTCGTTGTCGATGCTTAAAATTCCATTTATACTTTCGTATTGTGTCCGCACGTCAGGTGCATGTGAATTTTTTTGGTGCAATTGTTTATTTCTCTTATTTATTGTACAGTAAATTTCTCCTATTTGCAAAACATTGCTGATGTATTGAAATAAAAGATATCTTTTACTAATTTTTCAACAATAATGAGTTTCTTATTGTAAGTTTTTGCTACTAAAACATAGCTATTATTGTTCTCGTGAAAATTATTGAGTTTTTAAATAAACTTTTTGTTTACAAATTACCTTCATATTTATGTAAACTTAATCATTTCTTTTAATAAATTCTCTTAAACAACCATGAATATTAATTTTTTGTAGCTTTCAGTTATGCTCCATTGTCTAAATAAAAAAACGTCTTTTTTTTTGCATTTGATATTTTAACTCAAAATTAATGCAGATAGATGATTCTTCTTTAAATCTTTGTGTGCAGTACGACAAAACTACTTGTTTGAAATTCAATCGCAATGAATCGGAAAGCTTGAGTTGATATAAGTTTACAAATTTTATTTAATGCTTACTACACATTAGTTACATTTAACAGGTTGTTTATAATAAATTCAATTTATCTAACTTGTTATATGTTTAACATATGAAGTTTATATGTTTTAAAATTTGTAGGAATAGTTAAGTCCTGTTTTCTAATCAAATCAAGATGCTTTTTGTTTATTTACTGAGATTAAAGTATTGTCATAAATTATTAATGTTGTTGTTGACTCTCAGATTAATAAATTTATTTTAAGTTTTGAAAAACTGCAAAAATGTATTGAAGGTGAGAAAGAGAGAGTTGCAACATGATTTTTTTGTATTTATTTATTTGCAGAATGCAAAATTGACTTCAAATAATTTTGAGATGTATAATAAATCAAAATTTCTTAATACTAAATAATGTATATCTTAGTTGCATCAGATCTAAATTAACCTATTACTTCTATACGTTATTTATTAGTTAACCTGTATGATCCCTTTTGAAGGAAGGATTAAGAGATGCAAGATAAGCTTACATGTTTTGTTTTTTTACATAAATTTGATATATAAATTTGCTTTTATATGTTTTCTTTTATATTTTAGTGTTTAGTTGTCAGCATCTTTTTTTTTTTCTCTTGAAAATTGACTTAGTGATGTTTTTCCTTTTTTAGAGAAAGTATTATCGTTATCGTTTAATTATTTGGAACAAATAATTGAGTAAATTTAAGAGAAAAAATATTCTTGAAATCTTAGCTGACTGCATGAACTTAGATTTAGAATTTTTTTTCTAAGCTGTGTTGTATGGTATAACATTTTGTACATAAGCAAAAACATTCAAAATTTAGTCAAAAGTTAAAAACATTCAAATTAATTTCACAAATTTATATATTTTTAAAATTTTGACTTGTTCTTTAATGCGTTTAGAGAGTTTAAGTTATTCATAGGTTATTTCGCTTTCATTTATTTATCAGGTTTACAAAAAAAAAATAATAATCAATCAAGTTGATTTTTTTGTTTATAGCTTTCTAGCTATAATATAAGACAAAAAAAAATTTTTTTTGTCTAATTTGCTATGGAAATATCTATCAAAATTTTGCTTCTAAATTTTTTTTCACCTCAGAATAATTTTTAGTAGTATATTTTCATAAATATGACTTAAATATGGATTTTTATAATATACTCCCTTACTATTATTCTGCTATTTTTCTCTTGATGACAGTCCTATTTTCAGAGGCATATAATCAAGGAATTTTAATCAGTTTATATAATCTATCCTTAAGTTTAAAAATTTCAATAATTTATATTTAATTTAGTTTCTTAAGGCAATGACTTCAGTATGCATACTCTCTCAGTGTTTTCACTACAGCGCGAGAACGCAGGAGTCTTACTTATTTTTTTCTTTTCTCTCAATAAAAAGTGATTAACGCGAGAAGTTCACGCACTCTATTAATCAATTTCAAAATGCGGGAAATTTGGAAAAAATTTCGTCTTTTGCCATTTTGAATAAAAATCCGTTTCACTTTTCTTCTTTGATCTTTCATTAATTTGAACATCGGTCCTTGTTATCTACCTTCCCTATTTACCAGTATTGTTCAGAACCGGTGCGAACAGCAGATCCCCCCCCCCCAACCGAACCCCTTTCAGAACACATTTTTCTTCAACCACGTATTCACCGTAGGTAATGTTTCTTCATGTAAGACATTTAAATTTTTTGTGCATGAATGTAAGATGAATAAATACCTTGTTAAGTCGACATCTTCTACTCCGTAACGGAGCAAATGAAAATGAAACAAATGTCGGTAGAAACGGTCAAAATGAAACAAATACGGATATTTTTCAGCCAAATAAATATAGCAGCTGATGAAAAAGTAGATATAGAACATTTTCCATATAATGATGCAGCAAAAATATTCAATTAGAAGATGTTGAAAATGTATTATAATTAAAGAAATAATTTTTTTCCAAGTCTATTCGTGTTTTTTTAATTTTTAGAAATCTCACTTAACTTTTTGAAATCTCACCCTGTTTTTGAGAAATTCTCTTCCATTTTTTTTCCGCAATGAAAACGCTGTCTCTATACGTTTCATGTGGGGGGGGATAGTAATTATTGAAGAGAAATTTGTAAATCGGGCAATGCAATCCTTTTTTATTAATTTTAGAAAAACTTCTTAAATGTTTTTATTCAAATTTTTTATAAAAAAATATTTGATTGGTATTATACAATGCAATTTCTCACATTTAAATTTATAAGAAAACTTGATATTTTTGGGTAGATGTTTATGATATATTAATTTAAATTATATTAGTAATATATATTTCAGAGATTCAGATTACTTTGAAAAGAGTAGTTTTAATAAAATGTCCGGTTGTAGATAAAATGTACTTTGTTGTGAAGCAAAATTAAATGAAAAGATAGGTAGCAATAAAAAACTTAGTTGTATGGTATGAACTACATTTTAAGCTGTTTTAGAATTGTTAGAATCTTATTATGATATGATTTTTGAAAAATTTGACCTTCATAAACAAAATTGAATGACCTCCCAATTATTTCTTCTTTTTAAATTTTTATTATGTAGTTTTTATTTTAAATAAAATATCTAATTATTCTTAATGGACAAAATTTATTTTACACCTGAACTTTCTGTGTATATATGTGTGTTATAAATATACATTAATGACCAATGCTTAAGGTTACTGCCTGTTATTCTTTATTATTTTTTTCTCATAATTTCTATGTAGAGGGTTTATGGTTAAATCAATCTTAATTTTAACATTTTGCATAAGATAATATTCTAGCTTACCTATTTCAGAAATTTGAATAACTTATGTTAAATAGCTTGTTTTCTGTTGTACCAGCTATATCAAAAAGTTAACAAGCGATTAAAGCGAAACAGTGGCATAGGCATTGGAAAAATTACTTTTATAATTTAGAGGGGAAAAAACATAATTAGAGTAGTTAGGAATAAAATTGTAAATAAGTAGGAATATTGCTTAAATAAAATTTGCTCTTCTATTAACTGAGGTGTAACAATGCTACTAAATGGTTAACAAATTTATTGGTCCTATTAATTAGTAATTTTCAAATGTATTCCATTCAAAATACAATTTAAATTTTCTCATATTTTATAACATAAAATGATTTTGGGATATTTTGTTTTGCTTATAGAATAATTTTGAGTAAATAATGAAGAGTAATGAGTATGTAAGTACAATCAAACCCCGCTATAGTGAACCTTCAAGGGACTGAAATTTTGGTTCACTATATCCGTTGCGCAGGCAATTTAACAGATGGTTCCCAAACTGCTCCCTTTTATTATGCGTTATTCAAATAAATGACTGAAAAATATTATGTAGTAGCAAAACATGCGTTATTTTTCATTACTCAGCCTCTTACATACAAAAAAAAATTTAGTAATCTTTACCTCAACATTAGATATGGAAACACTTCCCGACTCTCAGATAATTTTTTCTGAATTTCTGTTATTCCGCTTTTTAAACCTGTCTAACCTGCCATTAAAGTAGTATCATAAAATCGCTTAGCAAATTCATTGATACTGGAAGATTGCGGCTTCTTCGATTGGTGAACTTTTTTAGTAATGCTTCTTCAATATCCTTGTGATCTGCTTTTCTCAAATTTTTTTTCTGCCATCTGAATTTTTTTTCATGAGCAGAAGTTATTAATTACGTATTTTTCCATATGTTTCAAACTGCAGATTTGGATAGTTTATATTCCCTGCAAATATCAGCTTCATTGCATCCATTTTGAATTTTTCTGATTATGTCCATTTTATCATCAATGGAGAACGTCTTAAGTTTACTGCTTGCTATAGTTAAATTTGAGACACTTCTTTGCAGGATTTTTTTTAACTGAAATGAGAGCAGGAAAGGAGTTGAAATGAGGGCCTTATCAACACATATTAGTGTCCAACCCTTAGACCAATTATGAATAATTACTCATTCCCTCTGACAGAAAATTCATATTGATCCCACTGACACCTTACAGGTGCATCATCTGCACAAGTGCATTAAGGATGAGAAAGTGAGATAAAAGAAGCAAACAGGAAAAAATGCTTATTGCTACATTCCCCTCTGTAAATGGTTTTAAAAATCGGTATGTGTATTTATTTTGAAGTAGAAATTTCGAAATCATTACAAAAAAAATGAAAAAATCAGCTGAAGACAGAAAAAAGTTCATTATATCCAACTTCCTCACTTTTTTGGTTCACTATATCCACGAAAAATAACATTATCCATGTGTAGCAAGGCACGGAACCTAACATTTCGTTCACTATATCCGGGAGTTCACTATAAACCGTGTTCACTATGGCGGGGTTTGACTGTATTAATAAAGAGCTTTATTTTTGCTGTATATTTATTATATTAGTTATTAAGCTTTATTCTGTTTGTTAAGCATTATATTAATATCTAACTTTTCCAATAGTGGTGGGCGCTCGTCTAAAACTTTCAAACCAAAGAAAAATATACCTGAGGGCACTCATCAATATGACTTGATGAAGCATGCGGCTGCAACTTTAGGCAGTGGGAATTTGCGTTTAGCTGTTATGTTACCAGAAGGAGAAGATTTGAATGAATGGGTTGCTGTTAATAGTATGTATGAAATTTGAACCATTATTTAATTTGATTTATTTTATCTAAATATATTTATAAAGCATTTTGTTATGTGTGGCATACTTTATTCTTTTATTCTATAAAATGTAAGTTTTTAACGATTTAAGATGAATTAAATGTTCATTAATAATTTTCTATGTAGTCAAACCTTGGTAAAATAGACATCAAGACTGAAAAAATTGTTTGCTTAGAAGAATGAGATGCTAATTAGGAAATCTGTTGCTGTAAACTATTTTAACAAAATTTAAGGGATATATTTAATCTATATGATTAAATACTATATTTTTCTCTCTTGTAATATTCTATAACTTTCATTTTTTTCTTTTAAATAAGTCTTATTGGAATAATAGGAGTTCCTATAAAAACAGGTTCATATTAAATTAAAATTTATCAGCTTGTAATCTTTTTAAAAAAAAACTAATTCCAGTTTTTTATTTAGAAGAATTCAAAAATAATAATAGCAAATCAAAAATATTTTCTTCATTCAATTCTAGTTAACTGTTAGTGAAAATTATTCCAAATTCAATTCATCATTACTTGAAATACTTTTCTGAAGTTTGATATGTGTTGCTGAAATTATAGCAATTCCAAGCTGTTAAACAACTAGCCCCATTGAGCTCTTGAGAAGGAGAAAAAGGTACTCGTTACAATTAGCACTATGATAGAAGATCTTTATAATGTAAGCTTTGAAACTCAAAGCTTTGCATATTATAGAATTTTGCATTATATTGATCATTTCACGTATCCTTAAACTTACCTTTTAAACCTGACGCTATTAGTCTGGAACAAATGAATCTAAAAATGCCTTAAAATAATTTTTAGATACAAATAATGAAAAAAACATATATTCTTTAGTATTTATTATTTTCTGAAAAAAATTGAAATTTTCAAGATTTCAATCAATTTTGGTTTGTTCAGCTTTTAAAATTGTAACCTCTTAATAAATAATTAAACAAATTGTGTAAAAACTTAACATCTCTTCATTAGTTGCAGAAATTCGCTAACTACAATTTTTATTGTTACACCCACAATGTTAATGTGATTTATGTAGAATTTTGCTTTATAGAATAACATTATATTGATCTTCTGCTGTATAAGTATACAATAAAGAAATTATAATAATAATGCCATCGATCATTCAAATAAATGTTAGCTTAGCGATAGATAAATATTAGGTGAGCAATTTTCTTCTCATCACCTCCCTGAGTATTTATCTTCCCCTTACTCCATATCAGCAAAAGATAATAAATACAGTGATAAAATATATTAAGTTAACTAACATTCTAAATTGATCTCAACCAATCTGGAAAAGCAATCAAAATTTCTCTTTATATGTTAACCACTTGTCTAAATGCGTTATAAAATTGTTGCCCAACAAGTCGTCCACTAATATAGACTTCACTGTATTTGCCATTGGCTGAAATTATTTTTCAGAAATTTTATTTCTGGTGTATATTAGTTATTGAAGGCTGAATATTTTTGCACTCAAAGATTTATTGCTTTTCTTTTATCTGCAAAGTTTATAAAACTTTGTGAATACAATTAAGCTGCAATAGAATTAAGCTAATAATAATCTAATATATCTGAGATTCGACTCTATGAGATAAGTTAAAAATAAGTTATTTATTAATACAGTGAAACCTCTCGTGAGCGATCACCCTCTGTTCCACAAAAAACTGGTCGTTAATGGAGGTTGGTCGTTCTTAGGGATTACCTCTATTGACTTCAAAATGTTATTGAAAATACATGATTTTTTTAAAGTGATTTTAGTTTCACTCAATGTCATTTTCTTTCTACTCAAATGCCACTTGTGAATGCGGCATCAGAACCAGATTCGGTGAATAAAATTTAGCATCAATAAAAATTACCCCTACTTATATAATTATGTGTTAACTATTTTAAATAAATAAACAATTATGTTTTTTGCTTAAGTTTGCATTTGATTTAATATCAAAATTTAGAGGTTTGTTTGAGATGCTTAGTTTTTTCTAAAATTACTTTTTTTTCTAATTTAACTCTAATTTAACTCTAAACCTAAATGATTGATAGCATCATCTTTAGTATATACTCTGATTGTAATATGAGGCTGTCAATCTCTCTCAGAGATCGTCAAAAACAATTCTGTAAGTGAGAGCCACTCACAAGTATTTTGAATACATTTGAACCTCCTTAATTGTTTTGTTAATATTTTATCTTAATTGACCTTTTCCGCATTTGGTACGGAAATTTGCCCAGTTGCTGTGAGAGCTTTTGTTGGGCTCCCCTATAGGATTCCTTCTACACCAAGTCTATGGAAAAATTCCATATCTTAAATAGAGGTAGTCTTTCTTAGAGGTTTCACTGTACTATTATTATTGGAATGATTGATATTTCTTGAAAATATTCAAATGTGCTGATAGTAATAACATGTTCTTTTAATTTCACCTAACAGCTGTAGATTTCTTCAATCAAATAAATATGTTGTATGGAACAATCACAGAATTTTGTACAGAAGAGAGTTGCCGAGTGATGTCTGCTGGACCAAAATATGAATATCACTGGGCGGATGGTCAGACAGTGAAAAAACCTATTAAATGTTCTGCTCCTAAATATATTGATTATCTTATGACTTGGGTACAAGACCAACTTGATGATGAAACTTTGTTCCCATCAAAAATAGGTATTCATTTTTAAAAATTATCTTTTGTTATATTTTGTCTATGACAAAAACTGATGTACGAATGGTGAAATTATAAATTATACCTTTTTCATGTTATAGTTTAACTATCTTTTTATTAACCTTCCAAAAAATCAGCCCTTGAGCAAAATTGTATTGAAAATTTCCCTGTTACATTCCCCATTACATAACGTGAAGGAAAAATTCAAGCAAGGACACATCCAGCTTAAAGTTAATTAATAGTCAGATAAATATTTATTTCATATTTCACTTGAATATTTTTGTCTATATTACAAAAATAAAATTATTGCCTAATTTCTAAAACGGTTAGTAATAAATTTTTTTATAAGTTATTAAATTTTTTCTGTTTATGCAAAACCATATTTTCATCATTATATTCTTTGAGTGGGTCTCCGTCTTGATGGTTTTAAGTTAAATCTTTTCATTTCTGTTAAATAATAAAAGTTTTTAATGAGTGAATGTTGTATTACTAAAAATTTTATATTGTTGAAAATATTAATTATTTTTTTCTTCAGGTAAAAAGATATTTTTTACAAATTGCATAAATTCTGGAATATTAGGTTGTTTTTTTTTTGAAATTTTGTTTTTATCTCACATCAAAAATTTTGTGTTTTTAAAATATAGTTTTGCTTTCAGTATATTTTGCTTAAGCTCTAAATTCAAATTTAAAAAACAGCTATGCACATTATATTACCCTTTAAACATATAAAAACTTATTTTCTTATTAGAATTATCTTCTCAGCTATATACAATTGACAAGTTAATATTATTAAGGCTTCTTTTAGGTTTAAGGTTTAACTCACAATTCATTTTAATTGTTTTTATTATTTTTTATTTATATATAAAAGTAATCCCTGTACCAAGATTGCTGCCTTTTAAATGGCACTTGTACTAAATTGCTCCAATTTATCCTAAGAATTTTATAAATCCTGCTTGTAAATCTGCATTTTTCACAGAATCGCACTAAAGTTGTCCTTAAAATAAATTTTTGTCATAAAAGTAGGAAATGTGTAATTAAGTATATTAATTTTGCACAATTTAACTTGAGAACATCTATATTATTTTATCAAAATTATGTAAGTTTTTAAAAAAATATTTTTGCAATTTGTTAATTTTGTGTGTTATAAACATATTTAAAAATTTTCAAATTGAAAATGATTGATGGATTCGTCTAGCTTGAATAGGATTTTTTTTAATGTGCTTGAAAATACTATAACAATAGTATAACTATTTATATCTCATTTACAAAAAAAAAAATTGTAACTTTTTATTTTTACTGTAGATTTTTGTAAGTATCGATAATTATAATTTTTTTCTTCTTAAATTCAATCATTTAAAGATAAGATTGTTGGTGGGTAATAATTAAATTATAAACATTAGTTCACAAAATTGAAACATGTAGTTCAGAGATCTATTTGTTTATTTTGGTGTATAAATTGATATCGTGATACCAAGTTTTTGCACATAAAACTTAAAGAGATTTTTTCTTTGCATCACTAACCACCCCCTGTACTACTTCAGGGAAATAAACTACTTTGTGGTCTGACTCTGAAATATTCTCTGATCTTATACAGACTGTAATTTAAGGCCTGTACAGGTTTCAAAGTTTTCTTTAATCTCAATAGCAACCATTTTACCTTTTTTTTTAATATTTTGGTTCACACATAAACCTTTTTTTTTTCAATGGGGTTATTTTTCTGTTATGATAATGGATAAATTACTTAACACTTGGATGGAGCAGTCGGACTTCCATTTAACGAACTTCCATTTTGCGAATTTTTCTACTTTGAGATTTTTTCGAGGAACCAAGAAAGAACATTTTGGAAATTTTTTCGTAAAATCACTTCCCAATAGCGAAGTAATTTTCTATTTAACAAAGTTTTCTTTGAGATCCACTTTCCCTATTTCCCAAAATATTTCCGAACATTTCAAACTTGTTAACGCATTTTATAAAGAAAATGACCTGGAATCGATTTTCAAAGCCACTTAACTTTTAAAGAAAACAGTAAAATCCATTTCCCTTTTTGTTTGAATTTAAACAAAAAAACTCAGACAAAATTAACGTATTTTATCAATAGCAATTAAACTTAAGAACATATGTGGTAATGTATGTTTAAAATTACTACTATAATAAATGCAACTATAATTTTATACATTAATTTAGCTGTTTTTAGTTGAAAATGTATGTATCATGATATTGTAACACTGAAGTATGTTTTGCTCTATTCTTGCTTTCCATGTAGATTTCTTTTATGGTTAAGATTTATATAATAAATAGTAGATACTAATTTACAAGATAAAGGTGTATCAATTGCGATTATAATTATGTTTAGTGTTTATGAATTTAAAACCTGTATTGTGTTGGTTAAGTATTTCAAAAGGTGCTTTTATCGGGATTTAGCGACTTCTTTAAATAGAGGTCCGACTGCATTTTTCTCTTTTGTTATCAATTTGTCAGAATTTTAATTTTTCACTGTATCTTCCAGGTGTTCCATTTCCAAAGAACTTTTTAACCATAGCAAAGATAATCCTAAAGCGACTGTTCAGGGTTTATGCTCATATCTATCATCAGCACTTTCAAGAAATTGTACAACTGGGAGAGGAAGCTCACCTAAACACAAGCTTTAAACACTTTATCTTTTTCGTCCAAGAATTTAGTCTTATTGAAAAGCGAGAGCTGGCACCCTTGCAAGAATTGATAGAGAAACTTACCTCAAAGGACAAGGACAAAGAGGGAAATTCAACTCGCTGATCCACTCCATAATTAACAGAGTCATATCTATATATATATAAAAGAATACTTGCCATAATGAGATTAGATATGCTTTATAGGTGACTTGCCTCTCTCGATACTGGAAGTGAACAATCAGTTAAAATAATTATCGTGTATTCCAGAAAATATTGAGATGCATATTTTCTTAGAATATTTTTTTAAGATTGACTTATTTTGCAGTGGCGCTTCTTGCGGAAGCGTTGAGTCATTAGTTTTGAATCTGACAAGTGCTAAATTATGTCTACATACTATTCATAAAAATAGTTTATGTACCTAGTTGAATATTTCTCTTTATCACTATATCATATTGAGTCATTAAACTTGTTAAGTCATGTTGATAATTACTTGCCATTATCATTTTTCTTTATTTCTGTAAAATAGTAGAAATTATACTTTTTTCGTAATTCAGATAAGCTCTGATTGCAAATTGATGCTATTAATCTTTGAATTTTACGGCATATTCTTGAACATATGACAGTCTTGATTCTTAATTCATTAGATCTCTTTAATTCATTTAAAAGATTTATTTTCATTCCTGTCTAACTTTTTTGTTTCAGTGAATAGTCAGTACCTAAAATAAATTTTTTTTTGCACATTTATTATTATTAAAAACATTGTTGTTAATTTCTGTTGTATGTTTAAACAAACTAGGTTTATAATATGGTTTCATGGAATAAATATATAAAAATAGATAATTTTGAAACAGATTCCAGATATCTGTTAAGGCATTACCAATTTAAACATATACTTTGTTCTTTATATCTCTTATTCAATTTAAATTGTAGTACATAGCTTGATAATATAGAATTCAGTACTATATATTGCAATAGTTCATAAATTGGTTTTGAAATGTAACTTATCTAGTAAATGTTGAATAATCAATCTTGCTATTATCTTATTATTTTGTAACAGTTGGAGTTAGTTGCGTAATGTTAAGGTATTCCCTTTTTTTATTTTTTTTTATTAAGATGTAAAAAGTAATCTTTTTTTTTTCCAAGTTGAATAATTTAATAGTTAAACATTGGAGGTTTTTAAAGTTATTAAATTATTCTATAATGCATTATTTGTATTTAAGCTGAACTTTTATTTATTTAAATTCTTACCAAAAATATTCTTACTAAATCTGTTGCCGTGTAGTGACGTTTAGTTATTTTGAAGCTCTAAAATTTTCTATTTATTTTTGTAATTATTTAATTACTTTTGAAAGATACTGCCAATTTTCCATTCCTCCAATTCATTTTAAACGTGTTGGCTCTTGCTTTAATACTGAGTAACTTTATAAGCATGGCAAATAAATCATGTTTTTACTTAAATGATTTTTTTTTTATTTTAATAAAGGAAGTGATTTAAATTCTTAGTGAAATGTAATATGAAGTTAGATTCATTTTATATCAACTAAAAATAAGAATAAATTTTTGATTGCATGAAACTTATTTTTTTTTTTTTCCTACTTGTCTTTTAGAATGGGAAACTTTTTTTCGATAATTGCTTTATTTGTTTATATAAGCTGAATCAAAAACTTGAGATTTTTTTTTCTCCTAAATAATAATTTTTAATTTTTGTAAAAATGAAAAACAATTTTTACTTGTGATTTGACTTTCTTTTAAAAAAATTTTTTTGTCACACTTAAGCTAGACTTTTTACCAAAAGATAGCCTTCATCATTCTCTGAAGTATAAATATAATTTGTATTTTATAGCTGAATGAATTTTTCTTTATTTAACTTTCATGTAATATCTAAAATTATGATCATATCCTAAATATTCACTCACGAAATTTCGCATTTCTAAGTAATTGCTTTTCTTAATTTATTAGTGTTTTGGTATCTGTAACATTTATAAAAAAAACTCGTTGCACAGGATTGGAGAAAGAAGTGGCCGAATTTTAAATATTTATACTTTTAAAACTACTTCACATACTGAAATGAATAATACATAAAATTAAGAACAAAAATATACCAAGTTTTTTCAGTTACCAATCTGGGGCTTCAATGGTTCTCGAAGCCCCACAAATGCATTATTTCAATTCTTACTATGTTTTTTGGCATCAGTAGTTTATAAATCGTGTATTTTACATAACCCTATAAACGGAAATTACACGGATTGAGGTCATGGGATCTTGGTGGCCATATGATCAAGGGTAAACCACTGTCACCCGCATACTGTTTATGAACCACCAATTCCGATTACAGTGCAAGAATGTAAGGAACCTAATAGTGCTATGTTGAACTATAAAATGTGTGTCAAATGAACATTAGATGTTTCACATTCACCCGTACACATTAGATGTTCGTCATGTAATAAAAGAGTTGTTGAGTTGCCCAGTTGTAACTGAAAAAACTTAGTATATTTTTCTTTAATTTTGTGTATCATTTATTGTTTTGTGTGTGATAGATGAAATCTGGTCATTAATCTGTACCAACCTTGTATTAATTGAGAAAACTAAAGAATTATATCTAGTTTTTTTAATTGAAAAATGGCATAGCAATTTGCTTGTGAATAATTCACTTTTATTTTATTGAAAATTTTAAGTTGCACATTTGTTTAAATGTGTTGATGGTTGTGCTTTACTGTTCTCATATTGCATTAATTCATAATTTTAATAATTCACAGAGATAATGTTTTAGTTATCTTATGCTATGGAATAAGAGTTCGTCATTGTAGTTATTGCCCTTATGAAGTGTCCTTAAATAATTGGTGCTTGATCATGTCCCGTATTTAACTGGTCAAGACACCATTGGGTGAATGTTAGATGGGCTTCTAATGAATGTTTTGCAGCGTGTTCTTAAATTTTCCATTAATAGGGATGCAACTACAGGGAATTTTCCTTAGTTATTATAAGTATATCATAAATTAACAAAATTGCATTTTGTACAAATTAAAGTATTTTCTAAACTCCAAAGAAAAATCCTGCTTTTGCTTACTTGTTTCAGTTTGATTATTGCTGGAGTATAATACTAGAAATGTGTAAATTGTCATTCAAGGATAATTAATAGCTTAAAAAACCAAAGGGTTTTAAATTATACAAATAGCTATAAAATTTCAAACTTCTGTTTGCCGATGTCAGCTATCAGAGAAATTTCTTAATAGTAGCATTTAATATGTGTGCTACTTTTCTGCAAATTCTGCTTTTTTTTACCTTAACTTTTAGCGTATACTAAACAATTCTAATATTTTTAAAAAAAATCTTTTTTTTTTTTACTTTCACTGATTGTACAAAAGTGATTGAAGTATTTTATCGATTTTACCTGCTATTTTGTTTTTTAGTTTTTCTGACACTAGAGTGCTATTATATTGAGAAAAAAATGACTTTTTTATCATGAAATATATAATGGCAAATTAGAAATTTTATACTTGTTAAATGAAATCAAATATTGTGTGATGGAGATAAGTTGCTTAAAAAATTTAAATTGTTCTCTTTATTCCATTTATCTAAAATGATTTTGATCTGATTCAATATACTCAAAAACAATAAAGATGGTAAACTAAAGATTCATTCACAAATTATTTTGTTTATAGTTTTTTTTTTTTAATTTTGAGTTGCATTCTAAACTACTATAACACTTGAATTAGAAATATCCTAATTCCAATTTTCAAATGAACATCAAGTCTTAATATTGGATCTTAGTAAGGAATTTTCCCGAATGAGATTTTAATATGTAATGGAATTTTGAAACAGCTAGCAGTAAAAAACTTATAATTTTTGGTTAATTAACTCTGTTTTTTTTTTTTTTTTTTTTAAAAAAACTCTATTTTTATTCAATGTATAATATATCTACATTTTAATTAACTTAAAGTGTTAAATTTTATTCTAATTTAATTTGTAATATTGAAAACCTTCTCCTGAAGTTTTGTTGCGCTGTAAAATTCAGCTTTTTTTAAATTTGTGAATGGACTTTTTTTTGAAAGAAAATTTTGATAATTATAATTTTGCATTGATATAACATATCTATTTCAAATTCTTTTTATAATTTTTCAAATGTTTTGACCTATAAATTTTTTGGCTGTAGCTGTGATGAGAAGAAATTCTATTTCTATAGATTTTGCATAATGGTGTCGAAATTAGAGTATATTTGAATTGAAAGATACATTTCCTGCGTAATAAAGTCAAAATTTGGTTAACTTTTTGAGAATAGTTTATATTTCCTGTTTCAATAAAACTAAGGAAAATTCCCTCTGTTTTCTACGAAAGCATGTGTCTGCAGGTCGAAAGCATATGTCTGCAGGTCGACATCTCTGTCTTTAGAAATTGAAGGAATTGTTTTTTATTTATTTATTAAGGATTAAGGTCATTGTAAATATTTTATTGCTTTTTTAGCTTCATTATGCAGAGACTAGATGATTTTATTGCTGATTTTTGTTTATTTAAATAAAAATTGGTGTTATTGTACATCATTTGATTTGTTGACATATGGAATGATTGTTCTATACAATGCAGTGATGTTGCATTAAGATTATTTTGTATTTAACTGAAGTTTTCAAACAAATATTGTTTGATGTTACAAAAAAATCCTCAGACTAATATGTATAAAGTAAGTGGATAAATAAAATTGTGATGCTTTACAAATCATTGAAAGATTTTTCTTTTAATTTTTGTTTTGTTTTGAAGTCCTTTTTTTATGTAAGTTAAACGTTCTTATTAAGGAGAACACAGTCATATAGCTGATGCTACTTAAATTCAGAAACCTTTTGGATAATTGTGAATCAATTATGAAGTAAATTTTTGGAGTTGATTTAGATATTAAAAAGTTAATGTTTGTTTTATACTAAAATAGTTTTTTTTTTTTTAATGTAACCTCAAAACAAAATTTTTGTTTTCAATAAATAATTTCACAATATTCTAAAATGTTTCAATTATAATTTTTTTTATTTACTTCGCAGAGTTAGTATTAATGTAAATAAATCTGCTACATTATATGAATTAATAATAACAGTTTGTTAAAAAGATGATTGTAACAGTCCTGGGTATTTTTCTGTTTTGAAATGTCCAGCAGAAATTTCTCAGATATATTAAAGACAAAAAGATATAAGTAAAAAAAGATCCAATCTATTGAAATTAATAGAGAAATGTTTCCAACAAAATATGTTGATCTAGTCATTCTGATTTAAAATCTTAAGATGCAAATTGTTCGTAACTCATAATGTAATATAAAAACTAATGCATGCACAGTTTCAATTGCAAAATTTTTAGTATTTTTGAAGTCATTATCAATGTCTAAAAATATTTTGAAAGTCATACATATTTCCAATCCAGTGAAGATCTGTTATTAGGTAAAAAGATTTAGATTCAATTGAATACATTAGCCTTCTAGAAGTTACGTAATTGCTAAATGACAGAAAATTTGAAAAGAGTAACCCTATTTAAGGTTAAGATTTCTATAAATTTAAACATTGAAAGTTATTTATTTAGAGATATCACTTTATAAAAGGCCATTGTGATAAGAAAAGTATAGTTCGTTCACCAGGAGTTGGCACTTGGCTCTGCCTTCGTCTCATGCTATCCAACAATACTATTTCGCTATTTTTTGGGAGAATTATGTGAACAATCCTGAACACGGTTGCTATTTGGCTATCGTATGACATTTAAAAAAAATTCGCAATGTTTATGTGCATTTTTTTAACATTAAATATTTCATACATTTGATGATATTTCTCTCTTTTTGACAAAATTGTTTGTCCTTATTCAGACATTTTGCTGGGAAAGCAGCAGTTTTTAAATTTAAGATATATTTAATTAGCTAGAGTAACGAAAGTTATAATAGCAGATGATAAAGCGAAGTAAGTGACTGTAAAAGAATTCACTGTTTGCGTTTGGTGAGCATTAAGGGTTATCTCAATTTCAAGCGCTGAGTTGCCACGGCGGTGTAAGGCCACTATACTAGTCTAATTCAGAGGCTCAACGGCGGTGGAGCAGCGTCGCCCACGTCACACAACCACAAACCCGTTTATAGAGCGGATCACATTCACACAAAGGAGAAAGGACATGTAACACAGAGAGAAAGAAAGATCCATGTCCTGAGCGGGATTCGAACCCGCAACCATCGGCTCCGCTGTAAGGCGCGCTAACCACTTGGCCACCTTGTCGGCACTCTTATTTAATAAATATATAAAAAAAATTCTATTTTGCATGAGATTTCGTAATTGCGAAAGAAAATCACTGATACCTCCACGTGTGACCTATGACGTCAGCTGATCGTTTATAAGCAAAATGGCTTGTTAAGGTTGAGCTAAGTTTCTTACATAAGTTAGAATGTTAATTAACTTGAAATTAATTAAATACAGAGCCTTATCACACACCGAATTTGTTGAATATTTATCGTCTATATCTCGTCTAACTTAGATATATTATATGTTTACATATTTTATTTTATTACCTATTTTATTGTATCATGGTTATATAACCATGATATATTTTTGTTTTGTGTACCTGGCAACTTCGATGCATGTTCTACATCGTTTCGTGCCTATATTTGTGTTAAGTAAGAAATATATGGTGAAAGAATTGAAATCTCTGAAAAAGATTGTAGAATTCGTCCCTTTAGAGAATTTATAGACTTGGCTTTCTCAAAATAGAATGGAAAGAACAGTTACTAACGTAAACAAATGCCAAGTTTTAACAACCATTCAGGATCGAGATACCCACACTACGTCACCTACAGGTATCCCAAACGAATTTTATAATTGTATGCAAAAATTTTTCAATTCGCTTAAGAGGTTCTCGAGATATGGTGACATATGCAAAAACTAAAATTAACATTAAGGGGTCCAAACTTTGAATCGCTCTGACCAAATTATGGGGACCATATTTCTCAGAAATCGGCTGTTTGTGGGACAAAAAT